TGCCTTTTGCAAATGTTTGTGTGTTGTCTGAGTAGTATTTGTGAGTTCCCCTGCAGGTAACAGGATGATGAAGGCAATATGTTCATCATGCTATTGCTGCTAATGACGACACCATGCTGCTTGTGCTGATAATTATGGTGATGGTGATGTGACATGTTTAGTCAGGAAAGCTTATCCGAGTCTTAAGATGCCTTTTCAAGAGGCTCCTGAATTGGATTTATTTTGCCCATTCATTTCAAGGAGTGTTTTAAATGCGAAAGGAAATGAAACTACCCCATAAAGGCCCACGCACAACGAGGCAATAACGGTGAAAAGTCCGCAAACAGAACGGCGCTGTGGTACCTACTTCCCCAACTGCTGTCCGCTCGACCTTGGGTTTGGGAGGGTTCAGAGGCCTTCGTCGCGATCGTCCCCCAAACCTCGCTTGCTATGTGGCGCTCGATGTCCCGCTGCCGTGCAAGCGTGCGTGCATGAGACTGGCAAAGGAATGGCAGCCAAAGGAGGGACTAAAAACGTCTGTTTAAAATGGCTTTCTCTCTTTAGTTATTTTTAAACGTCTTTTTCACTTCTTCTTTCCTTTATTGATGTTAGAATACTTCCGCATTTCCACGCATGGTGCCTTGAGAACGATTGTTTAAGGGTGCTTCATACATTTTAATTATTATTATTCTCATGCGTCTGAGTGGACGACAACCGTTGCTGAGCGTTGCGCGATGAGATGAGTCCGAGCGCGGGGACGAGAAGTGGTTTTGGCATCGCAGGGCAGTGAGGGGTGTTGACGGTGTGAGGAGGGCCTTCATCCAGCAGTGGTGGATTATCGGCAGCAGCTGATAGAGATCACGATGACGATGATGATGGACACGTTTGTGTGGGGCATTAATTCAGTCTGATCTTGAGACCACCGACCACCGAATGTGCTTGCAGCTTCAATCGGATTAAAATCTCAGCGGTCGTTCAACCATAGCCCCTACTTTTAACCTAAGATTTTTTTACAGCTGTTTTAAAAGATGAAGGTGATTGATGACGATGATTTATGATGACGCACCTCCACACTACACCACTACATCACACCACTACACCGCTTGTGGAAAGGCCTCCAGTAGAGGGAGCCCCTGTAGAGGGTGTTTGGCCTACTATTCCACACTTGCCCAGACGTCTTGGAGGCGGTTTGGAGTTCCCGCACTTTAGCCCACCGCACACAACCTGCCGATGGACTAAATCCCGTGTACTCATTTATACTGCTGGGTGAACAGGTGGGGAGATATTTCAAGAATCTTGCACCATCTCAGCTGCCGTGCCGAGAGATTGAACTATGAACCTCTGGGAGTCCAGTGTGCCAACCATTATACCATGGCAGCATCCCAAATATGTGTCGTCCTCCAGTATAATGTTCATACCAGTTTCCTGTGTTCTCCCTACAAAAGAAGACAACACAGTAGCTTTGCAAACCTGCAATGGGCTCTCGAACCCGTTAAACGATACTGGTGACTCAGAAGGGACGGGGATTGGACCACAAGATGTGATGGCCTTACGCGGTACCGTGTTTACTGTTTAAGGGTATTCGCAGCACACAATGGGAAACGAGGAATGTGAAAACATGAAACGTGGAAGACATAAATATCTTTGGGTGGAAAAAAATGAGGAAATGAGATACCATTATTTTTGTCCACTTTAACACGAGGCCATCACGCGAATTGTATTCAGATGAACTGGAACCTGATCTCAGAAATTGTTTCACAGTACAGTTCTCTACTGAATTGTTAAATCACCATTTTGTATCGAAGTATAGCTCACATGAAATATATATTTAATCTTTCCTTGTAATTTCCCCATAATTATATCCCGATTGTGCTATCGGCATCGCGTTATGAGATGGAGAATCCATTTGGAGCTTTCATGAAGTACCGTAGTGTACCCCTTGTTAGAGAACAGCCCGTGGAAGCGGATATTACAGAGCTGCATCTCAGATGCCTTCAAGTGATCTCCGGTCCACAAAGTAGAGATCACCACCTTCTCACCTGTTCCGCACATGAGAGTATTTTTTGTCTCGTGATATTCGAACCAAGATTTTAATTCTCAGCCCTGGACTTTAGCCGACTTAAGTACAGATTCAAATTAATTGGAATGTTTTTTTTTGGTGCAGTCATTGGTGACCGTTCTAAGACCATCAACTCACTACACTGGAGAAGCCGATTTAATTACGGGCAGCTGCCTGGATGTAAACCCAGAATCTTAACGGTGCAGCTAAACACGCTGATTTCCGAGCCACCCATCCACCTCTTACATTTATTAAAAGCAAACCTCCATAGATGTATTGTCACCATGGTCTTGTCACAAAATCATTGCTGTAGCCTGGAAGGAGCTGTTAAAGCATTGACCTGCAGAACTTACATCTCTAACAACATTGCAAGCCAGTGCAATAAATGAGTTTCAGTCCAATAAGTGGGGTACAGCATTCTGATATGAGTCAACTATAAACGATGCAAATATGGGTGGACATTATTAAAACTCTCAGCAGATGGCAGCACAGTAAAAATTGCATTGTGGATATATTTTTTTTTATAGAGGAACATCGAAGAGCGAAAGGAGTTGGTCACACGAAGTGGCGCGTCGAAAGGAATTCACAGTGGTGGCACTAGCCCATCCGTGGCCCTGAGTAGAAATAATTTACGTACCATTGAATTGTCCAAAATAAATCCTAAAATTGGATGATGATGATGGAGAAGAGACGTTTAATTAGTGGCAGCACAACCCCAGCTGTGGATGAAGTGTCCACTCCCTTCCACAACTTACACTGCCCTGATGGTTTCAGGGCCCATGGTGAAGTTAGGGGTACCACCTGACCTGGTCTTCCCAGGACGTCCTCTTTTTTTACATACTTGTGCTGGGGAATCCGTAAGTCTCTCCGGTTAATATCTGCTTTTTGACATTTGGATAATGATAATAAGCCACCACTCGAGACAAAACATCCACATTCAGTTCTCCACTCTCCCAGTATTATGAGGTACCCTTCTTCCTCTGTCCCTGTTTTTTGTACCTTCGAGGTGGCGACCTAGCCACATTCTCTCAATTCCAAAGCGTTCCCTGCATTGTGTTTACAGCCCTTTGTCACTCCACTGCTGCGTGAAGGCTTTCTTCCCACGCCGTGTTGGTCACGCGGGGTGCTTGACCGTGCTTGTCAATGCTGACTGGCGACGAGGCGGGGGATCGTGGGGGGTCGAGGACCGGTTCAGATGTCAACAGAAAGCTGCTCAAATTTTCATTTAAAGCTTTCGTGACTGCAGGGATTCATATTCTTGGTTCTTTCGGTAAAGCCACGTAGAAGGGAAACAATAAAATAATAAAATAAAAATATAAACCAATAAAATTCTCACACCTGAGAATTTTCACACCTGATGATGATTGCTTGTGTTGCAGTCGAAACGTCGTGAGAATTTTATTGTTTTATATTTTTATTATTTTATTGTTTCCCTTCTATGTGACTTTACCGAAAGAACCAAGAATAAGAAAGCTACGTAGGTAAAATAAAATTTTAAATAAACGAAAACAACTAAATTAAATCACGACGTTTCGGAGGCAGCACAAGCTTCCGTCTTCAGGTGGAACAGTCACAACAAGATAGCTGCGTCGTTTATTTTAAATTTTATTTTACCTACGTGACTTTACCGAAAAAACAAAGAGTATGAATCCTTGCAGTCACGAAAGCTTCAAATCTAGAATAAGAAAGCTGCTCGTAAAGCGCGCTTATATTTTAATTGCTGCCAGCGTATGCCTCTGGCTCTCGTCTCTTCCACTGAGAGAGAGGGGGAATTGGAGAGGCAATCGTTCCACAGGATCTAGAGCGGAGGAGCCTCACGCGCGCTGTGTTTTCAGCTGTGCCATGTGATGAATTGCTAACCTATGCCTGGGTAGCTGTTGTGCTTAGGCATCCGATGGCCCCTCACCTCATCTCCCTTGTGTTTGTCCGCAAGGGATGTGAGCCAAAAACAAGTTTTTTTTTTCAATAAATCCTCTCCACAACTACTGCTTTGCATGGCCAGGCAGGAAGCCAGCCAGCCAGTCCCTCATCGTATGTCACACCCCAGTACCATGAGGCCACGGTCCCTTAAAGGACTTGAGAGACGGGACCGCGCCGGCGCCCTTCATATCTGGTCGCGATTGTAAATTGACGCGCATCGATTTACACCGTCTTTTACCGTGCAGTAGAAAACTTTCAGCGGTGGCTGGAACTGCGGCTCCACGGACATTCTCTCGTGGATGTTACGGATAATATAGGATGTGTTCAGTGGCGGCTTTAATCTCACTCGCAATTCTCTGCAAGTGAGATAAAAGCAAGATGTTCCTTTTCTCCCACATTATTCAGAGCATCATCACAGTGCTTTGTGGCTGCCTGTCAGGACTATGTTTTGGCACTGATAATTGAACGTGCTTCTTTTAAACTTTGTGTTGTTTGTTTGCCCATGCTTTCTTTACATAAAAGATACATATTCGATACATTTTTTCGTGATGGGTTGTCACTTTTGGCTGATGTGGCACTCCGTGTAAAAATGGGACAGTTGGATAAATGTACAGGTGTAACGGCATCCATCCAATTTACGTGATGTACAAAGCCATAAATAAAAATATCCCATGACCAATTCAGCTAGCGATGGCGATCAGCATGCACTAGCGCGTGGTGTACACCAGGAGGGCAGTGCGATGCAAATTCCAACTTTGTAATGATCGCCATCATCAATCTACACTGAGCAGCATGGTGAATTATGGTCAAATATCATATTTTCCAGGCACATCTTGTAATTTTGTGTGTGTGAGCGAGAGACCAGATTTGTTTAACTTTATTCACATCGGGTGTGCGTCTAACCTTCTGGAAAATATAGCAAAACCCCCATGGAGACCACTCGCAGCAGTTTCCCTAGCAGTGTGTTAACGCTTTATGGGGGATCTTTGTCTTTGATTTATGCTTGACCTCTGTACATGTTTGTGTGTGCGCACGTGTGCAGGCTTGCTCTGTACGTGTACGAGTACTTGCTTCACGTTGGCGCTCAGAAGTCGGCACAAACGTTTCTGTCGGAGGTGAGTCACACGAGAAAAGCCTTGCGTCAGCAAACTCTCCGTTCGGACGGCTTGCGTAGATTTCTGATGGCTTTTCTTCTCCTGCAGCTGCCTGGTAAATTCTTCAGAGAATTACCAAGACATTTTGTTTATCGCAAAGTGAACATTTAAGACCCCAAGACATAATTGCAAGGAGCAGGCCATTTTGTGTTACTATTATGGCCAGAATACATATGATGTGTACAAGCGGCGTGACGGGGTGGAGCAGACGGGACAAGCACACTGGGGCACGTGACGGGGTGGAGCAGACGGGGACGAGCACACTGGGGCACGTGTCTGGGTGGAGCAGACGGGACGAGCACACTGGGGCACGTGTCTGGGTGGAGCAGACGGGACGAGCACACTGGGGCACGTGTCTGGGTGGATCAGACGGGGACGAGCACACTGGGACGTCTGGGTGCAGCAGACGGGACGAGCACACTGGGGCATGTGTCTGGGTGGAGCAGACGGGACGAGCACACTGGGACGTCTGGGTGGAGCAGACGGGACGAGCACACTGGGGCACGTGTCTGGGTGGAGCAGACGGGACGAGCACACTGGGGCACGTGTCTGGGTGGAGCAGATGGGATGAGCACAGTTGGCTGGGCCGTGTCACCGCTGTAGATTGGAGGAGCAACGATGTGGGGCTCGATCGTTAAAAAAAAAGCTAAACAGACCTTGAATCATCCAGGAAGGGACGCACAGTCACGATGCAGAACACGAATGAAATGGGAAGAGCAAATCCACGAGCCGAATCGTGAAAATCCTGCTCTGGCTGTTGGAGTTGTTTGATTTTTTTCTCTTTTATATCATGGTCCATTCCAGATTTCTGAGTTGAGGTAACTCTTAATAACAGTACACCGTATCCTCTGGGTTATAAAAAAGCTCTAGAATGAAAGACACACCCCAGACATGTGCCTGGTTTCAATAATGCTACACAAATCTCGTCTTACACACACACACGTGCGCGTACCTACCAGATTATGAGATGCATTCATAATACGGAAAATTCGGTGGTAGGAGTTGAAATAAGTTGGTGAAAAGTAGTGAGTGATGTTGATTAATTTGTAGGATTGAAACTGCTTCATATGTAAAGAAGTGTCTTGTTGTTGGACACAAGACACCACCGTGCAGCGGACTCGGAGTTGGGAGTAGAGATAGAGCAGGCAAGATGAAGAGCCAGATTCTCATGCTATGCCAATGGAGCCAATTGGCTTCTGTTGATTGGAAACATTTACATTCTCAATTAGAAGCCTCATTGTAATGGGAAAAGGCTGCGATTGCGTTGAAAACTGCTTCTGTATGTTACGCGACTCTAAGCTCTCGGGCGCAAGCTGGTCCGTGGGAGACCACAAGCGTCTCGTTGGCACGCGTAGCTCGAGCTGAAGCTGGCGCTCTCTCAAGCACCGGCCGTGCACCGCACCTCGGGCCAAGTGTGGCCACGGTCGTGGGGCGTGGATTAAGGGTGGCCGGGAGAGCCGAGCGGTCGGTCTGGCTCAAGAGTCATCGTGGCAGATGCATCGCTGTCAACCCCTTATCAGTGCCCTACCTTATTACAGACCAATCCAGACCTTATTGGTCACCCCGTGCCCCTTATAAATCTCAACGTTCATCCTACAAAGTCCCATCACAAGGGAGAAACACAAACAAATAGACACAAAAATTATGTTACTAAACAAAAACTGTTTTACGTGTTAATTTTGATAGTTGCTGTCAATAATGCTACTTATGCTATTGTCTGTGATCTTGCATGCTGATACTGCTGCTTGCTTGATATGTGGATGCGCACACTCACGTTGTAAATATTCAACAATAAACATAAAAAGATTATGAAGGGTTAAATAATATAATATCATCCATGTACATCCCAACCTGCTACTCTCCAGAATAAAAAAAAAAAAATCTGTCCCACGACTTTTTTTTATTTGCCGCTTGTGATGTTTTTGTTGCTCGCATTGAAACGGCTGTATGCCTTGTGGACCTGAACACTCATTTCCCTGTACAAGACTATGGGTTGACATCTATGCAGCTGCCTCTAGTGGGCAGGGCGACTGGACACGGGAGTAGCCTGGTCACAGAGACCCTTCCTTCCTCCAGAGGTGCCGCCCGCCAGAGGAGCGAGTGGCGGTCGTGTACGGCGCGGTAGGCAGCACGAGTGGGTCATCTGCCAGTCATCTCGGTCAACCCCCGGCACCACCTGGGTCTGTCCCACCGTGATCTCCTGCCAGCAGCGAGCCTTCGACACTTTACGTGGCCTCAAATTGCACCTGGCCTGGCACGAGCGCCGTGGTGATGTCACCGTCACTTGGTGATGAATGGCGGCTGTTGTTGTTGTTGTTGTCGTTGCAGTTGTGCGGTACAGCCCTCCGATGTGTTTTTTGTGTTGAATGGCGCGGTGTGGGACGATTTTTTCGCACCCCGCGCTCGGGAGACTTCAACGTTCAGGAGCTGATGCAAGAACCCACTTGGGTTCCTGCAGAAGCTCCCATCACACGGAGTGAAACGTCAGACATCACGCTGAACAACACGAAAAACTAATCGGAGAACTACGCAACGCAACCGCTAAAGCCTGGCCAGTGTTCATGGTTCACGTGATTTTTAGCTCACAGCAGAAGGCCTCCCCTTTGTCAGTTGTTGGGGTTGTTTGACTATACTTCGCTAAACTGGTCAGTACGTGATGCTTATAAGTCGATAAAATGATACTACAGCATGCCCGGGCAGCTGGAAGAATCCTATGCTATGCTCAGAAGGGTTGCAAATGGCCAGACACAACTAAGATCATTAGATTCGTGCTTTGCAGTGTTGCAACCGCAATCGCCGTTCAGCGCTGTTATTGTGAATTATACGCACGGGCAGAATAACATCCACCTACTGTGCAGTGTCCATAATGGCGTTAAATAGCACACGTGTACGCGTTTGCGACGCAGTTAAATGGCTTAAGTACACGACGAATATCCAGTTCAACGCTGTTGTGCATCGCGAGATGCGGCTGCGTTCAGAGAGCCACGTAAATCCACGTTCCATTGCAAGGGTGCGAGGGAACACGGCACGAGCAAGCGAGCGCGTGAGCTTCGGAGCGAAGCAAGCGACGTGTGCGGCTCGCGCCGCAGTGGTGGAGTCACCCGCGCTGTAGGTTGTGAACAGGTGCACACTCAAACGCCCGCAGAAAGTGTCCTCATCACGACTGACGGCAGTTGAAACAATTGGACCTTTTTGTTAAATCTCCCCGCCGACCCACTCCGCACTTATGTCCACCCAGAAGTACAAATTGATACAGTGCAGTTCGTCGGCAGGTCGTGTGTGATGGGCTAAAGTGTGGGTACCCCCCACATCTTCCAAGACATCGAGACGGCATGGAAGACAAGGTCAAGATTACCTCTAGACAGGCTCTCTCTCTCTCTCGAGCTCCATCGGGTGGAGACCCTTCCACCGGCAGTGGTGTGAGCAAGCAATTGCAGGGCAGCAGCTTTGCCTTCCCCTTTGTACATGCCTCAGTGGGAGTGTGATAGCGTGATAGCTTGGTAGGCAGTTTCCTAGCCACGTTGAGCTCACTGCTACCCAGAGACTTCTGGAAGGTACAATGTTTGTTTTAAAATGGGAATTAAAATCCAGACATTTGCTCTCAACAGCAGGCCATTGTGTCTCTATCATCAGCATCATGGCCATCAGATATTTACCGCTGGATGAAGGCCTCTCCACACCATCACTCCTGCACTTGAACTCAACCCGATCACTGCTTGGTCTCACCGTGGCGGTTGTCCTCTTGAGACTCATTCTCTCCTTTGGCTGTCGTTCCATCACCAGTCCCATCGAGCGACGTGTCCTGCCCAAGGCCAACTCTCACTTTTCTCCAAGTTCAATAAGGCGTTTCTCACTCGTGTTTGGTCCCTGACCCACGCTCGATCCTTTTTCTGTCTCTCGGTGCAATTCCAAGCCGGTGTCTCTGCGCATGTGCCAGTGTCAAGTTCTCAACGGCGCGTTGGAAAAAAAAAACTACCCTCAACTTAAAAATACAGTGGTTTTTCAATCAAACTCGGACGCTGAATCTCCTTCAGCTCTGCCTCGGTCAAATACCGGTCAACGCTTTGGGCTATGCATGGTCGGGTTAATGTCAGAATTTTGTAGTTAAAATAACAGCATGTCATAGGTTTCCCCCCGTTATGCTCGCAAACGATACGTTTGAGATTTACACTTTGATCACTTTCCACTTGGTGACGTATATATTTTTTTTTCTGAGAGAAAAATTGAAAAATCTGGATCGTAACAAACAGCCACTAGGCAGCGGCACATTGAAAGTGTTTCAAGGTGACGGTGAGTTAAAAAAGAGAGGTCTCTCTGCATTGCTTCCACCAAATGTCACTGTGGCAAATAGGCCCGAGAATACCAACAGCTTAACCGGCATAGAAAATTGACACAAACGTAATAAAGCATCTTGCCAAATGCTGATTATCTTTTTGCGATGGATTCTGAGAAAAATGATGGACAGCTAACAACATTAGCCTAACTCAATTTTTTTGCACGCTGGCCAAAGACTCCTGGGAATGTTGTTGCTAGGCAACGTGCGCTGTTTAGCAGTGATTTAGAGGTGATTCTCAAAATGGCGTGCAGGCCTGCACAGAGTTCTTACCCAGGAGCGGATCTCATTCGCTGGTTAGCTTCTGTGCAGCAGGATGAGTCTGTGTGCAGCTTACGGTGCTGCTGCTGCTGGTGGACAGAGAAAAGTGACTCCTGAAAGTGTGGGCACAGATCTTGAGTTTTCACTTTTTTTCTCCCCCTCCTCTTTCTAAGAGTTTCTTGCCATTTGTCAAACTCACTCACGACAGCACAACACAAAACAACACCCGGTACCAATTTATAAAAGTTTTTCACAGTAATTCAGTGGAATTACAGCTTTTTTTTCTTTATGTAAAAACTGTGGCTGATTTTGTTTTTCGCAATTCAAGAACGGTTCTTCACCCCCACGTGTGGTATTTGTGACCTCACCACTGCTGGCCAGGCTCTCTTCTTTTCCTGTCACCTTGCGGGCACCATCGGCTGCAACTGGAATTGGATCGTGAGTTTTGCGTGAACAAAAATATAGGATGTCAGCTAATCGCAAATATCGTGCATAGATTGGAATGAGATTTGGTCAACATCCCGTCATGTTCCTAATCAGCTGATTGGGCAGAGTCTTGATCAGCCAAATTGGATAATAATATATTTTTATTTAAATAAATCCATAAAGTACTCAAGTTATGGTGCGGTATTACTGTAAATGCCTCAAACAAATGGGGGCTGGAATGGATTATGGCTTCCTCCAGCTAGGAATAGATCTTGTCTGATGATGATGGTAGTGGTTACTATAGACCTAACAAAACATTGAGAAACATCGTTTGTTCCTCAGTATTAGCAGCACTGTATATGTTAAAAATAGCCTCCAGTACCTCTCATGTGTGCAGTCGGTGTAGTGTGTGGGATAGTTCAACCCCGCGACCTTTGTGCTCAGCAGCAGGCATCTCACCGGGGCTCTGCTGCACGGCAGTTCGTCTTTTTGGGATATTTTTTTTTATTCTACGCATTGGCGGCCTGATGCTCGCCCATCGCGCTGTCACTTGAACGTTAATGAGGCGCCGTCTGACTGACGTCCTCACTGGGCAGGCGGCTAAGATGCACGCAGCGATGTGTGAACCTGTGAGCGTGTCAAGTGCGGTACTGTACGTGTTACATTGTCACGCAAAAAAAAAGCGCACTTGGTAAATAAATGGTTCTCGCAATCGATTCAAATCCACACGGTTCATTCCCACGCAGGGTACCTTCCAACGGATGCAGCGCTCTCACATCTTGCAGCCCTATCGAACAACAATGTTAGCAACAATGTTAGCAACAATGTTAGCAACAATGTTAGCAGCGTCGAACCGCGTATAGGCCAAAAATCACCGCCGTGTTCCGGAAAGCATGCCTCGTTCAGTAAACCGTGAAGAGCCGAGGTTTTCCTGTACAAAGAAACGTGATAATGTATGTTTACACCTAAACTGAACTTTTTACGAGTTTAATAAAAAAACATATATTTTTGTTATTTTGTTAATTGCTTAGTACAGTGGTATAATATGTCATTGCGTAGTTCGTAAAATTGGATACCAATAATCCGATTCGGATTGGATTTTACTGCCTGCCAAGTGATGGGATTTGGGGAATTCTGTGTCCGATCCAATCAGTTTGGAATCCAATTCGGATCACGACACGGGCCGTCATGATTGGATCCCTTCATAGCTGAACTGCGCCCCACTCACATATCTACATTTGTATCTCTTCCCAAAAAGGGCCTGATTTGTCGAAAATATGTAATATGTATTCAGCACCACTCAGAACCTTCAGATACAAATCTTCGTAGGCCTGTGTTAAAACATTTTTAAGTGCGAAAAAAAATTGTCACCAAATTTTTGGTTCCCCAAATTTTTAAGCATTAGCCTGTATAATTTTAAAGCAGACAACGGCGCGCATTTTACAGTTAATACACCTGCTGTGTTAACCAGGGCGGCCCTTTGGGTTTGAACCGCGGACTGCTGCAGCGCGTTGCAAGCACGCTCAGGCGAGGGCATGGCCACGGGCCCCGGTGTGAGAGGGTGTGCTGTGGCCTACGCTGTGGCCTACGCTGTGGTGGCACGTGGTGTCATAGGAGACGTCAGAAGAAACGAAATAAGTCCTCTTGAAATAATTGGTCATCGTGTTTTCTTCGCGTCTGCCATTATATGCACCATCATATGAACCTTGGCGGTCCGGATGTGTTTATTTATTTATTAAATACCTATATGGTGTATACACTGCATGTGCTGCGCAATTATGCACCCTTACATTTGTGATAATATAAATCCTTATTTTTGTTTATTTGGGTACCGGTATTTTATCTGATCCTTTATGCTGTCACATACAATTAAGCCATTGTTATTTTCCAAACTGTTGTTCCAGTGTCCACTATTAAGTACTCCGGCGTTTAAAGATGCACTGATATGCTCCCCATTACGTGATGTGCCTATACGTACCCTAATATTGTTTTATGAACTAGCAATTCAAAAATGTGCTGTTTTGTACCCCGATGTCCAATTATGTACTGTTGTGTGTGTTCATTTTCGGTGATTCACTGCTTCATTCCCTAATGGCATTATATACCCAGATGATATTACATACCCTCATGTTCCACGTTGCTATGCGCCCGTCTGTATGCTGACGTTCTGCAATGTCGATACTCAGGGATAAGCTGCCGATTTTCAGATGAATCCGAAAATTCTGATGCCTTAGACATTAAATTTCAGGATGGTACCATTTAATTATTTTTATTGTTCTACGCAATCTGCCGCTAAAGTGACATCGCGTCCGCACGTTCCTGCCAATAATGGTGTCAACATGGGGTCGTGGGAGACGTTCATACATTTAGGCGCGTGCACTCGCCAAAATACTACAACGTAAACTATCTGAAAATCAAAACAAATGCAAAATCCGAAACGTTCGCGTCCAAAACTCATCCCTAGTTGATACGCGCGCAGAGCCTGCATGTGCCCTACAGCCGGATGCTGTTATGAACTCTGATTTACTAGTAACGCTGTGTGGTTGCCTGTGCTTATTTGTGTGTGTGCGTGTGTGCAGATACGGTGGGAAAAAAATATAACTCTGGGGGAGCCTCCTGGCTTCCTGCACTCATGGTGGTGGTAAGTGACCACTGCTGTTACCGGCCAGCATCATAAGAAGCTCTTGATTTATTACCGATTGGGAGGCTTCTCGTATTAAGCTCGACACCACCTTGCGGGCTCGCACGGCTGCAGACAGGCAAAATAAAATAACTGGAATCATGCTACTGGAAGATAGATCGGGCCTAAAATAAGTATTTGCTTTGCTGAAGTGGAGATTTTTTTCCAAGCTAACATCGTTTCCAGCTTATGAGAATCTCCATCAACTGGCCAAAGTGTGTAGGCAGGGACACAATGTAACATGCAGTCCAGCCCTTAGCTGTAATCCGCTTATCTGAAAGTCTTGCTGTCTGTTACCAGGTTTCACATTCGGCTCCTTTGTTCGAATAAAGTGCGGTTTATTCGAAGTTGTTTGGAAAATCGAGAGCATGGCTAACAATGTATGCCTCCTTTAAAAAAAATATAAACCTCTCCACGCGTCGTCACGTCGGCCAGTGCGAGTTTGCGAAGTTGGGTGCCCAAGATCGGTTCAATTAACACTCGCCACTGATGTTAGCCATGGCCGGGAATTGAACTCAGGTCGCCGAGTTCGTAGTGCAGTGTGGAGATTAATGACACTTGCAAACTCTTTTTTTAAATAATTATGGACCCTGTGAGGTGGATTTGCCACATTGAATGTAAAGTTTGCTTGGTAAAGGTGCAGCCTTTGCAATAGCTGGTTCACGCCACTGCCGTCGGAAGCACGTCCACTATGAGAGGCAGTGCTGGAGAGCGCCCTCTGGGCGGTGTCTTGGCCGAGACTTCCACACGTGTTGATGATGCACACGCTCTCTGTCACACTCACTGTTCTCATCTCACACACTCACCACACTCTCTACACTCACACACTCACTCACCCACACTCACCCACACTCAACACACTCACTCATTCACACTCTCGCCACACTAACCACATTCACTTATTTACATACTTACCCACTCACCACACTCGCCACACTCACTCACTACACTCACCCACACTCACCCACACTCACCCACACAAAGATCCCCCATATAGCCTTAACAGACTGTAGGGGCAAGTGCTGTTAGCGAGCACCTATGAAGGCCAGAACGGTACACGAGGGGGTGGGTGGCCAGCACCACGCCCGACCGCCTTAGTCTCCCCAGTGGAAATGTTTTTATCCACCGCACCAGGTACTCATTTGAGGCTGAGTCGACCTAGGGGAGGACCAGGATCGATTCAGATAATCGTCACTGGTGTTGGCCGTGAGCGGGAATCGAACCCGGGTCGCCAGGTTCATAGCGCAGCGTAGCGCTAACCGCTACACTACCGCTCCCCACACACCACACTCACTCACTACACTCACCCACACTCACCCGCTCACCACACTCACTCACTACACTCACCCACACTCACCCACACACCACACTCACTCATTATACTCACCCACACTCACCCACACTCACTCATTACACTCACTACACTCACCCACACTCACTCACTACACTCACCCACACACCACACCCACTCACCCACACTCACCCACACTCACCCCACTCACCCACACTCACCCACACTCACCCACACACCACACTCACTCACTACACTCACCAACACTCACCCACACTCACACACTACACTCACCCACACTCACCCACACTCACCCACACTCACCCACACACCACACCCACTCACTCACTACACTCACTACACTCACCTGCTCACCACACTCACCCACAATCACCCACACACCACACTCACACACTACACTCACCCACACTCACCCACACTCACCCACACACCACACCCACTCACTCACTACACTCACTACACTCACCTGCTCACCACACTCACCCACACTCACTACACTCACCCACACTCACCCACACCCACCCACACACCACACCCACTACACTCACTACACTCACCCGCTCACCACACTCACCCACACTCACTCACTACACTCACCCACTACACTCACCCACACTGCAACTTTCTCTGCCTGCTACTCCGCTCACACCGCCTCACTTTGCAGCTCCGTCTCGGTGCCTCTTTTTCCCAGCCTCCTATCAGCTGGTTCCACCTAAATGAACGTCTCCACTCTCTTCGATGACAACTTTGATAAGAGTGTTGAAAAATCGGCGGGAATTGCTGTAATTATGCAATTTGTATTTCTGTGTTATTTATTTCATTAACTTGCTTACATTTCCTCTACTTTGCACTCGTATTCGTTTTTGTAGTCTTTGTTGTTGTAACTTCATGACCCGGCCCGTCTGGACATCTGTGAAAAAGAGCTTCATGGCTCTTCGGATTCCTCCAGGATGAATAAAAGATTCTGATTCTATTTTGCTGCCCGCTTGACACTTGGGCCTTTGGACCCTGTGCTCAGCGACTGTGATTCAAAATAACGATGAAATACTTTGGGAGAATGGAACGTAAGTCAGTCCTCATTCGCGGGCGGGCGTTCACGGTATCTAACTTCCCTCATGGACCTCAGAGGTCAACTCAAGTTGTTTATCTCAGAGCATCACCCGGTTGACGCACGGTAAACTGTGTTTCCCTCAGAGGTAGATTTCACACACATCTCGAAAGCCCGTAAGACGAACTCACAAATTGAATCCTTCCTTATTTCAGCCGATGTTCAGCCCCTCAGGTGTTTAGAACACGGATTCATGATGTATAACATTTTGGTCACGCTCTGATATAGCCTTTTTTTTTCAATTTGTTCCTGACCCTGAAACTTTGACTCACGGGAAGTGGTCCTCAGACACAACGCTGATAATATAATAATTTAAATGTGTAACACGCCGCTGCACAGGATTCACTCGCTTTTGAAAGAGAGAATGCCTCTGAGGTGTGAGTAGGAACCGCAGGGAAGCGGTGAAGACGACAGTGGACATGCGGTGAACCGGTGCCAACAATTGCCCAAGCTCTGCAGTTCTCCATATATTAAGGTGTTATCGGACAATTATTCCAGTGCTTACACTTGAGGGGCAGAGGTATTGCGATAGGAGCCCATGACACGAGAGCTCGATGTTTCTACCTGAACTCGAAAACAAAAGAGTTTGGAGCCATTGTGGACGAAGCAAAAACACCCGTCAGCACACGGTGATTCAGCAAACCAAGCCGGGTCAACATTTGAAAAAAATGAAAGAATCCGAGGCCCCAAACATCGTTCCAAACGTAGAGATGGTGACCCATCTTGGCGGGACAGGTCACGAGTTGGCGAGAGAAAATCTAGATCCCAGAGGAGATACGATCTTCCGGTTGCATGTTGCAGTTTTCAGAAATAAAATGTATTTTGTTGTCAGTGATCAAAGCTGTGTAATTCAACAAGCTTTATTCAAGGAAGTAATTTCAGGACTGCACCTTTACCATTCGGTGTGTTGTGTTTTTGTGTGTTCCCCACGTTCGCACCCTCTCCCCCAGTGTCTTCTGGGACCTGTACTGCGCTGCCCCGGAGAGACGCGAAACGTGTGACCACTCGAGTGAAGCCAAGGCCTTTCACGATTACGTGAGTAACCGAAACCACTCCTCTTCCCAGAAATGGTTTTGTTTGTGTCCTGGGGCTATATAACCAGGATAAGATAAAAAAACACGAATCTAATCATTATTACATTTAGCATTGGCATCATTCTTATCGTGCAAGGCGAGCTATCATGAAGGCGCTTTGTGCCGCAGTTCCACAGTAGGTGGGCGATTTAGTTTGGTGTTTTCCTTAATAAACCGATTTGGATAAACTGACGGTGCCTCATCATGACTCATACCTCTTCACTGGAGACCTGAAGCACCAAATGCTATTCTTCGACTTGGGACAGGAAAAGTCACTGAGATCCATCTCCAATCATGTGACTTGCAGCTCACAGGGAGCGATTCCCTTCACTGGATCTGAATTGTTACACTGTCCATCACTCTCTGTGCTTTTTTTTTTTACAAACATGCTCATGTTTTACCAGCAGCTGCGTCATACGTGTGCATTTATAGAATAAAGATTTTTTTGTTGAACTGGGTAATTATTTCCGCTGCCTTAACTCTGTGACCTCTGTAGACCTCTTTTGGAAAATACTTTTGTCAAATTAAATATTTTCCTCAACTCGAATAACAATGAACACATGAACATCCACCTGAGAAATGGCTACGGTAATGGCCGCTTTGTGTTTCCCGGTTAACTCGGCATCATTACTTTTGATTCTTTGCTTTTGCATAAGTTTTTCGTCTCCCATTGTCATTGATAATTCATGGCTGATTCATAAAAAGTGGATAACAAAGTGCAATTGTCCATTGGCTTTACACAACTGACAGAGCCCAGAGTTCAGTAGATGTAAACAATGAAATATTGGTGATACATGTATTCAACCAAAATAAAGAAAAAGTATTTGTTATAAAAATAGCAAAGTCCGTAAGCATTCATCTTCACACAGTCGTGTTTGGCGGAAGCATCCTGTGTCATGACCTTTGACTTGAACACTTGCATTGGAGTCACGGATAATAGGGTTGTGGATGGGATTTGGCCTGTTTATGTTGAAATCAGGGGACTGCTCTATCTGGCGTAATCTCCCGTGGCCCCATATTTACCTCGGTGTAAACGTGGACGCAACAGCGGAACATTTTTAATTGACGCTTTCCAGGCATAAAGGTGGCTTACCTGTGTTCGAAAATGAACACGTCCTCCCTATACGTGGTGAATCCATCCAGCATTGTGAGTGGTGTGCAGTATGGGTACGTGTGTATGTGTGTGTATGTGTGTGTGTACGTGTGTGTTAGATATTTAGACGTGGCACCTGCCTGGGTATTTTGTACCATCGGACACTCCACCCCCACAACTCCCAATCGGTGGTGGGGCAGTTGTGGAGAGAGTGGAGATTTTCCGATACCTGGGCAGTGTGCTTATGATCGGCTCCAGTTTAACAGCAGAGGTCTCACTCCGAATCAGTCGAGCGGCAATATCTTTTCATCGGTTGCGTAACGCTGTGTGGAAGCTACCTGGTCTGTCGCTCCGCACTAAGCTTCAGGTCTTCTCGGCCACGGTCATTCCCTCCCTTCTCTATACTTGCGAAACGTGGACCCCCCTAATGGAACATCTTCGCCGGTTGGAAACATTTAGGCTAGCCTGCCTACGATCCATCCTGGGTTTAACCAGGCTGGATTGTGTGAGGAGCTCACAAATCCTTGAAAGATCTGGGCAAGGTCCCATCGGTGAGCTCCTCCAGCAGGCAAGGCTGCGTTGGCTGGGTCATATAGCCCGCATGCCCAGCCACCGCATGCTGAAACAGCTTTTGTTCGGCCGGATCAAGGGGGCTAAACGGGCGCGGCACGGGCTAGAGAAGAGATGGAGTGATGTGGTACAGGAGGACGTGAAGCTGAGTGGACTTGCCGATGACTGGTACCAGCGGTGTCAAGATCGGCCTCTGTGGAGGAGGCTCGTGAAGGACGCTACTGGGCAGTTTGAGGTAGTCGCCCTCCAACAACAACAGAGGGCGGAGGAGCGACGCTCACAACAACAATGAGTGGAGTGCTGGGTGGCTAAAGCACAGCAGGTTGGCACAGTAGGGGGCACAGGTGGTGCATCAGTCAGTCATCTCAGTCATCTTAGTCAGTCGACCCGTGGCACTTGGGTCTGCCCCGTGACCTCCTGCCCACCGGCGTTCGACACTTCACGTGGCCTCAAGGTGCACATGGCCTGGCACAAGCATCGTGGTGACGTCACCGCCACTTAGTGGCGAATGCTGGTCGTTGTTGTTGTACGTGTGTGTGTGCTCGCTCGCATGTCGGATTCAATGTTAATGCCAAAGTATGGCCTTACTCGGGCTCGGCAGGGTTTCATTGCTCGCGGAATATTTTCTGGAGTACCCGCAAAACCAACCCCCTTTAAACCTCCAAGTTGTACCCCACCTCGCCACCACACCTCACCAGCATTGGTGGGTGCGTGGGTAGGCGGGGAAATATATTTTGGTGCTCACCCATGGACAGCTACGTCCAAAAATTAAGCCCCAGGATTGTAGGTTCAAACGGGCAAATTATGCTTTCACATTTCTTAGTATTCACTATTGACCCAGCTTCATATGGAGGGGAAAAAGCACCCTTCTCAGGATTTGAGATTTCAGAACGAATGCTTGAGACTAAAAGGCCCTTCACACAATATACACTTTAATTGACTGTGGCTCGAACGCTGTGGAGTAGCTGTAATCGGGGTGTGCAGGGCTACTTCTGTGCCTAAGAGATGATTCCTGAGTGGTGTTTGACTTCGGCGCGCATTCCACGGGCTATCTAGCTTGATATCCTCACGGCATGTTTGAGAGGTGAAGCATGGCACGCGCGATTCTATACACAAGGAAGAGCAACAACAACGACGCCAATCTGTACAGCGTACTAATGCTACCACATCTCCAAACGCTTTACATGGGGGATGGTAACATCGGGGAAGATTGTGAAATGGCAAGGTGGAGGTGAGGTGAGGGACACGCACGAGAGAGAAGAGGGATTCCATCCAGAACTATGATATGTCTTCTCATCATCTCTCTTTCAGAGATGCCTAGGAGACGTGAGATATGAATTACTCATGATAATTTACGAGATTTGTTATTGACGCTATTGTTCTTATTGCACAAGGCTATCACGAAGGTGCCGCTGTGTTTCACAGTAGGGGGGTGATGTTGCAACGCGACATGCACCAGTTGAGTAATGCGCTGTGTAACATTTCGACTGGGGCAAATCTGGGCCATGACGCCGGCACGCAATGCCCAACTCGTTGCGAATGACGTCAGGAGATGTTATTCCAGTGACCACCGTGAAGTAGGCGGCGCATGTTGCGTGGTTAGTGCAGCCGCGGTATTAAGCGGGCGGCCTCGCGGATTCGAACCGCGGACCTCTGCGGCAAGAGGCGAACGAGCTTTCGCTAGGCCGCGTCACCGCCCCGATTAATTATCGTGCGAGGAGAAGTTGAGCAGTGTCAGCTGTGTGAACGGCATCGTTCTGCCAAAGGGGTGGAGATTTTCAGATGTTTATTTTTTACTATTTCAACTGTGGGTTCACTTCACATCCAGGCGTCGTTGACATGCGATCACCCAGGGACATGCTGGAACTTCCTCCGTTCTGCGTTATTGTGGACCTGGGGAAGTTCTTAGCGCTTAGCTTATTATCTGTGTGGAAACACCGAGTGTGAAAGTGAAATACTGTATGGGAACGAGTGCTCCCACACCGATGGACAATCGAGAATAGTCCACAGCGCGACTGGGGTCACCAATCTCAAACCACGGAGCATGCGGTGACGCCACGGCCCGCTGCGATTGTTTGCCGGCAGCGTTTTAAAACGTTCACCGTGAGGCTGACTCCTGAAGTCGTCCACCGGCTCACTCGCCAGCCTCGATAAAAACACAGAAACATCGCCGATCAGCTCCGTGCCGTCAGAAATAAAATGTGTAGAAACGTAACGATCACCTCTTCCCAGCGGCTTGGCAGTTTGTCACGATTCGATGTTGCAGTTCCGTTCAAAAATCGGTTTGCTTCATTTTTGCGATATCATTTGCATTGTTTTCCAATTGTTAGTTGCTGCACTGACCTCAAAAGCAACATAATTTGCGTACAATTTGCATCAGCTGTAAATAATTAATTCTCAAGCACACTATTTGACGAATTTGCCTTGAGTGTAAGAATTGATTTTAATCGAGGAATTGATGCATCATTACACCCATAATCATTGCTTTCAAATTTGTTTTCGATGCAATCTGCTAATGTTTTTCATCTGTTCTCTCATCCACGTGTTCCCCTCCTGGGACAGAAACGTCGGACATCGTGCCAACGCACACCAACATCGTGTCTCTACCATGAAAACTTGACAGGAGCCTCCTCAAAAATTGTCTTGATAATTGTTTGAGGCTTTCCTGGTTAAACAAAAGAATAATACGAGATGTTAACTACTTCGCCTGGTATACGGGAAGCCGTGGGTTAGATCACTACCCTGACGCCTGCTGTATATTTGGAGTTTGCGTGTCTCTCTCCCCGTGGTTGCGTGGATTTTTCTCGAGGTCCTCCGTTTTTTCTCTCCACATTTAGAAACACGAGTTTAGAGAATTTGGCTGCAATACATTTTCACCTGACAAGCCACTTTGTTGAGCTATCATTTGTGACCAGGTGGCTTTTGAAAAATAGATACGTAGCTCAGTGGGCCTTACCTGGTAAAAATAAAAATAGTGCCTACTAGTCATAGTAATACAAAAACACGTAGTGGTGCCCTGTGTCATACACGTGACGCGTAGCGTAGCACAGACGCCGCATCAAGAGTCGCAGGCTGTAGCGCGGCGGCCTGTATATCACTGCCGCAATTAAGCATTTCACCACTCATCCTATCTGTATGGCAACAGTGTAACAGGAATAATGAATCCGCAAGCCCTTGTAGATAACAAGATCTACTGATTGGAGCTTAACAAAGAGGAGGTTTTATTTAATGGGTTTGATTGATAGGTCTTTATAACGGAGGCTGACGCTTGTCCCAGTATGGATGGAATTATTCCGATT